TTAGTGGGACAAGTTTTTATATTCTTTTTCGCCGGTTTCGAAACATCTGCAACGACTCTCAGTATGACCATCCATGAACTGGCTGTTAACCCTCTCGTACAAGAAAAATTGTACGAAGAAATTAAAATATTTCAAGAAACTAAAGGCAAATTGTTGTACGAGAATATAAATGATTTGAAGTATTTAGACTGTGTTATAAATGGTAATTCAACTGCTTAATTAATACCTAGATTTGGCTCACGAGGTTACCGCCATGTGGCGTATGAAATCGACTACCATTATTCCGATAGTCGTATCGGTAAATGGACTGATAGCGAAGAGCTTCGACCAACATCTTAAGAAGCTCTCGCTACACAGTTGGATTAAGGGCCCGACACAAAAGGCAGTTATCCTAGAAACCGCGCGCATCGTGTGAAGGTTCCTGTCTCTGCAGCCCTGACCACTGGTTGTTTTAGTCATGGGATTCAGCAGCCGGTGGTGTTCTGTTTTTAATATAATGTGTTTTGTATATAGGTATATAAATAACAAATTATTAAAAAAATATTTAAACTCCTTTAAGGCCGGCAACGAGTCTGCAGCTCCTCTGCTGTCCATGGGTGTCGTTAATCACCTCGGTGTTCCCACCGCTCGTTTTCCCCCTTTTCTTATAACAAAAACATATTAATGATTTTTGATGCTTTTAGAAACATTACGAAAATGGTCACCAGCTTTAATAATGGACAGAGTTTGTACAAAGCCATATGAATTGCCACCACCGCGTGAAGGAGGTAAACCGACCAAAGTAAGTATTGTCATATCATCTTAATGTGTTCTTTATCTACGAGACCTATTAAATTTAGCCGTATTATATTTAGTTCTGAACGAAGTCATATTTTGAAATTACAGTTAAATCCTGGAGATTACGTTTATAATATGGTAAACTCAATTCATCTTGATCCAAAACATTATCCTGAACCAGATGTATTCCAACCTGAAAGATTTTCCGAAGAAAATAAACACGAAATCAAGCCATTTACGTTTACGCCTTTTGGTATTGGTCCACGTACTTGTATCGGTGAGTTTTGTGCAAATAAAATAATTATTATATTTAGTAAACACTAGCGGTCGCCAACGAGTCTATCCGCGCTGAATTAAACAAAAAAAAACATAATTAGTAGCATATGTGTGCTTCCAGACTATTTTTTATTTGTAAGCCAAATTTCATCGAGATCCGTTCAGCCATTCTGGAGATATCTTCATACATCCATCCATCTAAACATTCGTACTTATATCTCCATGTTCATTTATTTATCTTATTCTTAATATGGTACATTTCATATAAAAAATAAAAAACAAAATATATTATTTTGAAAATAGAACACCACCGGCTGCGGAATCCCTTGACTCAAACAACCAGTGATCAGGGCTGCAGAGACAGGAACCTTCTCACGATTCGTGCGGTTTCTAGGATAACTGCTTTTTGTATAGGGCCTTTAATCCAACTGCATTTATATAATTATTAAGATTAATATTATTTACATTAAAATCATTGTGTGAAAATAAAATATTTGTCTATAATGCTGCTTCATAATATGTTTCAGGAACTAGATTTGCAATACTGGAAATAAAGGTGTTAATTTATAACATCGTATTAAACTTTAAAATATTAAAATGCGAAAAGACCACAGACCCAATACTGTTGCAACCACACGAGTTTAATATATCTGCCTTAGGAGGGACATGGGTGAAATTGGAAGCAAGAACACAACAATGATGTTTTAAGTATAATCTGAGATTCAATGGTTTTAAAATAAATAAGTAAATACATACTATTTGCAACTTGTAAGAAATATAAATAAAGATTGCAAAATTATAACGTGTTTTATTTTATCCTTCTTTGTTCTTTGTTTTAACCATCATCATCAGCTCACTATAAGTCCCCACCGAGGGGCTCGGAACCTACCCTAAGTAAGGGGCGATTAGGCCATAGTCAACCACGCTGGCCCATTGCGGGTTGGTTGACATCACACATATCTTTGAATTTCTTCTCAGATATGTGCAGTTTGCATCACGATGTTTTCCTTCACCATAAGAACGTCGGATAAATGTACATATGTGAATCGGAAATGGAAAAACACATTGGTACATGGCGGGATTCATACCCAGGACCTGCAAATTGCAAGTCAAGTGCTTAACCCCTGAGCCACCGACACTCGCTTGTTTTAACCAACACAAAGAAATATATGAAGAAGATATTTACTTACAGTTACAAAATATAAACATGACCAGTTATTGTAAATATTGTAATTGGGTTAATTGCTGGTTGTTAATAATATAAATAGAAGATTAATGACATAGGTCAACGTAGGAACAGCGGAGATCCACAACAATAAAACAAAATATTTTAATCTATTTACTAATTTGAATTTTATTGTTAACACCTAAGCGTAACCAATCGTGATGACCCAATAAAATGGTTCACCTCTGTAACAGTCAAATGTCAATGTATTGGCCATTATTTAAATAGACTATTAACGGCTGTACCGACGTAATATGGTGGTACAAGTTATAAGGGATTGTGTTTCAGAATTATTTTATTTTAAAATAAGAAAAGAAAATCAAAATTTAAATATTTCAACACAAAATTAATAGCATATTGTCAATACAAATGAGACGGTGAACCCATAGTTCGACAAAGTATACAAGGGTAAGTAGTAGAGCATCGGTGACACAGGGGACAAGCAGTGAAATTGCAATCTGCAGGTCCTGGGTTCGAATCCCCTCATGTACCAGTGTTTTTAGATTTACATATGTACATTTCTCCGACGTTCTTACGCTGAAGGGAAACATCGTGATGCAATCTGCACATACCTGCGAAGAAATTCAAAGATATATGTGAAGTCAATCAACCTGCACTGGGCCAGCGTGGTTGACTATGGCCTAGTAACCTCTAACTTGGGTAGGCTCCAAGCCCCTCAGTGGGGACGTATACAGAGCTGATGATGATAATGATGATACACGTAAGAATAATTAATTCCCGCTATCGCTTGTGAATTGTAATCCGTTATCTCAACTACAAGGGGTGATATGACAATTTATTCAACAAGAGTACAACTACGTCTTAGTTCGTTAGTGTTCGTTGGGATATTAAGCGATATGATCGTAGAAATTTTAATATTCATTTTAACATCTATATTAGTGTATTTTATATACACTTATAAACGTGTCCATTACTATTTTGAAGAGAAAGGCTTGAAGTACAATCCTGGTGTACCAATATTTGGAAATATAATACGCAGTACATTCTTAAGGAAACATTTTGTTGAAGATATTGACACGATATACAAAGAATTTCCAAACGAAAAGTAAGTATCATTTATTTTAATAAAACGATTCTAATTTTACTTATAACGTAAAACTTCGAAAGGAAGAAAGCCAGATAGACTATAATCGAATATTTTTGCGAAGAAAAAAATCAAATTTAATTATGTCAAACTTTTTTCTTGTCGATGTCGATGGTTTACTGTGATCTTGTAGGTGTTTTTATTGTAAAATATTATGTATCGAATATCTGACATAATTTTGATACATTAAACAATAATTTATATTTTGTATTTCGTCTCAATCGACCTCTAAATAAATAAATAAAATGTCAATTATTTTAAATTAAATCACATGACTATCGATGGCAGGAAGATGATTCGGGTCATGTAACAATGATGTGGCAGTGACATATTTAGAGGTCTATCGTGACCCTCCCATGTTAGTCTAAAAATAAATTACATACCAGCAAAGAGAACGATCACACTGAGCCTTACATGTTATACTTTAAATATTGAAGAAATAATTGATAATAAAAACTTTTTCAACTTTCATCAAGTTTTAAGAATTCTAACATGAATAAACAGAAAAATGGAAGAAAAGATTAAATGAAAATTATGTTTTATAACATATGAACAGATAATTAAAATAATTATAATTTGAAAAAGATAACCGTAAATAAATTTAAAGTTTTTAAACAATAATTAAGGTAGAGCCCGCTTTAACATCTTCGCACGAATCGGCTAGGCTCGCCCGGTGAAATACCACGACCACACAGAAGACAGGCGTGAAGTGGAAGCAATTCCGTTGCAGTCTGATGACTGTTCGTCCCGGAGGCCTAATTTAGTCCTCTTTCCCTTCCCACCCTTTTTCTTTAAAGGAAAGGATAAGTGGAAGTGGACTTTCCGGATGAGAGGATGCATGGAAGGGGAAAATGTTTTCATTCTGTGCATCCTCTCCTCCGTCGATTAAAGGTGGGCAACGCATAAGCAATTGCGTATGTCTATGGGCAACGGTCACTTCGCTATTTTAGCGATTTCAGGTGGCCGCTCGCTCGTTTGCCACCTTATAATATAAAAAAAAGATAGTATCTTATGTACCAATGATCATATTTTTCTAGATATGTTGGCTACATTGAAGCTATTACGCCTGTTGTCCTCATTAGAGATCCAGAGATTATCAAACATATTACAGTAAAAGATTTCGATCACTTTGTTAATCACAAGGATTTCTTTCCTGAGGAAATTGAACCTTTGTTTGGCAGCAGTTTGTTATTGATGAAAGGTAAGGTTCAATTCATCATCTTCATCAGACTCACCGTGGGTTTCCGAGACAAAAATCCCTGTCTACACCATATTATATTTATTTTGTCAAAGACAAATGACGGGGATGACGATATATTTTATATAGAGATACTAGCTGTCGCCGGTGACTCCGTCCGCGCGGGATTAGAAATAGATGTTGGCCGATTCTCAGACCTACTCAATATGCTCACAAAATTTCATGAGAATCGGTCAAGCTGTTTCGGAGGAGTATGGGAACGAAAATTGTGATACGAGAATTGTATATATAAGATTGGCGTCAGAAACCAACGATAATGTGTTTATAATTAACAATAATAATGATAAAGCTGGAATGTACTTATGTTATCTTTATATATTTACCTATATAGTTGATATATAGTTTATATATGACTGAACTGTTCAGAAAACAACAATAAGATAACAGCCCTTGTTTGTTTTGTATGCAAGTGCCTTGAACTTTACTTTGTTTTGACTAGATTAAAATATAAGCAACCCAATGAATGAAGTAAATGTACTATGATTAGACAATGAAAATTAGTTTTAGTTATATGTTAAAACACTAAATTTTATGGGACAGGGATACAAAAGAAAAGCTGAGAAAAATCTTTTTTTCTAATCATCATCATCATCATCAACCTGCCCTTATCCCTATCGAGGGTTGGCACAGTATGTACTATTCCTCTATACATCTCTATCAGCCGTCATATCCGAGTCTACCCCCTTCTTACGCATATCCTCTTTCACACAGTCATTCCATACTTTTTTTCTAATCTTCACTTTTATAGCTAAGTTTTAAAAAATTTGTAAGCGTTGTTACTAGTTTAAAATATTGCGTTTTTTTATCAGATAACAAATGGCGAGATATGAGAACAACTTTAAGCCCCACTTTCACTGGTTCCAAGATGCGACACATGTTGCCGTTTATGATTGAAATCAGCAATAACATGGTCAATTATTTAAAGGGTAAGTCCACAGTGAAAACTACATATAAATATTACTAGCTGCCGCCTGGATTAAAAAATGCGTATAAAATTGTATAAAAATCTATCCAGCCATTTCGGCGGATAAGGTAACTGACATTGTGACACAAGAATTTTATATATAAGATTTAAACAGTCGCTTATTTTAGCTTTTTCATACTAAATATACCCTGAGCGGATCCCTTAGTGATCATTTAAAGAAAGTGCCGTAGTAGTTTTAATAATTTAATGATAAATTGGTTTCAGATCACACAAACAAAGACCTTGACGTGTCTGACCTGATGAGACGATATACAAATGACGTCATCGCTTCCACTGCGTTCGGCATCCAAGTGAACTCGGTGCAAAATAAAGATAACGATTTCTACAAGACTGGACAAGCGATGTTCAATATGTCAGCACAACAAAAGTTTAAATTCTTCTTCGTAAACCAGTTCCCGGCGCTTAGTAAGGTAATAAACTTAGTAATATTATAAATGCGAATGTTTGGATGGATGGATGTTTGTTAGAAGGTATATTCAGAACGGTTCAACAGATCTCGATGCAATTTGACATAGACATAGAACATAGTGTGCAGGTACCCATAGGCTACTTATTATGTTTTTTTATTCCGCGTGGACGGAGTCGTGGGCGACAACTAATCGATTGATAAAACGACTAAACCATTGCAAGGTCCTTTTTTATTTTTTTGCTACGTTTTTTTTTGAAAAGACAATATTCTTTAACTATTGTGTTCTTTACATTGTATATTTTTTTCAGCTATTAAGATTGAGAATTTTTGAAGATAAATACACGAAATTCTTCGAAAATATAGTAACTACAACAATGGAACACAGAGAGACACACAATATACAACGACCTGATATCATACAACTGTTAATGCAAGCTTATAAAGGTGAATATTATTAATTATTTGTACTAGCTGTCGCAAGCAACTCCATCTGTCCGTTGTAAAAAAAAACACGATTAGTCTATGTGTTCTTCAAGACTATGTTCTACATTTATGTCAAATTTCATCAAGATCCGTTCAGCCGTTCCGGAGATACCTTCAAACAAACATCCATCCATCTATCCAAGCAATCACATTTATAATATTAGCAAGAAGTAAGATTTATTCAAACTGAAATAAAAATATGGATACTGTAAGGCGATACTTAAAATCATAATTGGTTTACAATAAGATGTTCCGTTTTGATTGAGTTTTTTTTATTATTTTTTTCTAGGAAATTTAAAAGCTGAGGATGGAGATTCCAAAGATGAAGTCGTCATAGAAGCGGAAAAACTCAAGCGTCAAAGTACAGGTAATACAAAAAAACGTGCCACTTTGTTTTAATAGAACAGTACGACCATTAAATCGATATTAAGCAGAAAACATTTGAAAGACGCAAAAAAAGACAACGCCATCTAGGGACGCGCGAAAAAAGCGTCGCTTTATAATATAAAGCTAAAGTACGACAAATATGAAAATAACTTATCCTGCAATTTTTGCAGCATAATTTATTTTCATAGTCCCTTTTGTCTCGCAGATGTACAATTTTCTGTAAATCTATTATTTTTTATGTTTAATTTATATTTCAAATATGACACACTTGTAGAATAAAATATGTCATACTGTGACTGCTGCGACTGAGACGAAAATGTCAAAGATAAAGCGAAGTGACAGAGACGGAAAGACAGACAATAAGGTATAGCTAGAAAGAGAGAGAGATACGACACCACCTTTACTTTTCGTATGTTTTACAGAATGGTCACAAAGAGAATTGGCAAGCCAAGTGTTTATCTTCTTCCTCGCCGGTTTCGAAACATCAGCAACAGCTTTGACAATGTGTATCCACGAACTGGCAATCAATCCGACGATCCAGGATCGGTTGTATGAAGAAATAAAAACGTTCAAAGAAAAACACGACCGACTTACATGCGACAATATCAGTGATATGAAATATTTGGATTGCGTTATTAATGGTACGATTATTAGTTTTAATTAAATTTTATAATGTCAATATGTTTTTAATAAGTTATATTATGTACGTATGCGTTTTATGTGACAATTGCTTTAGTCGGGTTTTAGTTGTCGATTCGTATCGTTACAGAGACATTGCGCAGATGGGCTCCAGCTTTGATTATGGACAGAGTTTGTACGAAGGCTTACGAACTGCCCCCACCGCATGAAGGAGGGAAACCTTGTAAAGTACGTATTACTGTTTTCAAATATCTTAGTGGTTCGACGTGCTGCGCAGTTCCCTCCCCTGTAACAAAATCTAATTTGAATATTTAACTGTAAAGATATTAATGTTGTATATTGTGAAAAAAAAGAACAGAAAAGTACACGATGGTTCATTTATCTCATTTTTTAACTATTTTAATTACAGTTAAATCCCGGCGACGTAGTATATAACGTGGTGAATTCCCTACATCTCGACCCAAACCACTACCCTGACCCTGAAGTCTTCGATCCGGACAGATTTTCTGACGACAGGAAACACGAAATCAAACCTTTCACTTTTATGCCATTCGGTATTGGACCTCGAGTTTGTATTGGTGAGTAAAGAGATATGTATAGGCTAGTCACATATATACTAATCTTTAAACTGTAAATGCCTTAAACTTTAAATGCCTCCTCAAGGCAAACAGTGACTACTCAGTCACAAAAAAAAAAAATATATATATATACTAATCTACAAATATTAATATCTCTATACTATATTCTGAAGATAAAAAAATACGGGAATGTTTTTTTTAAATATACCAGGATTTTTCAAAAAATTAAATGACTCACTTCAACTCTCAGAGTAGTTTTTTAGTCACTTCAACATAGATTTAGTATGAGAAAACCTTAAGTGACTGCTTAAATGACCAATCCACTCAGAGTGAAACCATTAGAAATCAAGTAATCTAGTAAAAATGTTAATCTTTTTTTTGTTAAAATATTAATATTTCTTCTACCATTCCAACTAAGCTCTACGCTCGGCTAGGACATGGTTTACCACACTAGGCAGGGTTGGAACCCCGACCAGAAATCCGTTCCCTTAACCATTAGGCTATTGGCGCTTAAATCTTCATTGTAGTACTTTTGTTCCAGGATCCAGATTCGCACTATTGGAGCTTAAAGTGTTGATCTACGACATAGTATTGAACTTCAATATATTAAAATGTGAGAAAACGACAGATCCGATTACTTTGGAGCCTCATGACTTCAATATTAAAGCTGCAGGAGGAACTTGGGTTAACTTAGAACGTAGATGTTAATATTTGTGGACGGCAAATATATTGATCTTATCCATAGGTTCCCAAACTTTTTGTCGTCTTTTCGGATTCTTACTGGTTTCGGTAAATCTTGCTAAATTTCTTCTTCAACATTAAAAGCCTAATGTTTATTTATTACTAGGTCATCTGTAGACCAATTTTTTAATATTTTTACCTTTAAACTTTTTATAAAGGAAAAAATAAACGTATAAACAAAATATAGAAGTATTGTATTAATTTCTTTTTAAATAAACATTTGTATCACTAATTTAGTTTTATTATTTACTTAGATATAATGCAACGATAACAAAATACTACGATTTTAAAATTAACCACGACACACAAAATAATGAATACAAACAGGGTTAAAAGGTAAAAGGTATAAAAATATGCTGATATGTCTAGGGAGTTGTGCCTTTAAATCAGTTAGGTTGTTAGTACGTAATTTGTGAGTTATTTTAATGTTAATTCATTGGCGAGCAGCGGCGATGCGACCGCGTATAAATCCGTCCTGTCGCCGCTTTGTTGTGGGACCCATTATAATCCTCATGCCGGCTACTGAAATATTTTGCTGCGCTTATGAAGGGAGATTTAGGACAATCAGAATACACCAGTAAAATATCTAAAATTGTATTAGGATTAGAAATTTGTTTTTAAATATAAATTGTTCATGGCATTAATAGATCTGTATAGACATGGTTATGGTAGGCCCTGCCTGAAGTCCATTTTCTATAACAAAGTATTTAGATGTTTACCTCACAGATTAGACCGTGCTTGTTTTATCCCGTACCTTAATTTGTGTGTCAACCTATCGCCATCTAGTGGTGAATTATAAAATAGAAATTACGTGAAATAATATTTCCTTTATAAGCTATTTCCTCGAAATATAACCGAACCAATACAATTTGCTCGGCGCTTCCGTCAGCCGGCAACTTTCCGCTACAAACGGTAGCTAGGGGCGAGATAACCGTTGACCTCATAAAATTTTATTTTACAGTTTTACAAACTTGCTCAGACTTGCTTTCACGATGGGAGTACTTTGAAAAATATCTTTTTTAACTTACTCGCTTTCGCTAATGCACTCGTGTGGGAGTTAGCGTGCCATAAGTTGAGCGAAGCCGTAAATTCTCATATTATTTTAATGCTAGATAATTTGTCAAGAGAAAAATATATACTTGATATCTAATAATTTAAATAAATAAGAATCATTATCATTAAGGTTCATTAGATTCTAGGAGCAAAGTTTTTCTCACTGATACTATTAAGACTGGGAGGATTATGGAACTTTTATTTATTATGACCAAAGTTTGACGTTTGTAAAGCGTCAGAGATACTTTTTTATAAAATATTACGTAAGTCGAAATAAAAATACCAGTAAAAACTTCCCGCTATAAAATAAACTTTGAACATCTGCGGCCTAAATTGGCAATACGCCACAGAAACAAACGCCTTCCTTTAATTCTTTAAGTTTTACTCTTCATCTAATTTAACGTAATTGTCACATTAAACTGTATGATTTTATATTTCTATTTTAAATAGTAAATTATATTTGGTTTCTGAGACCAATATCTCAGTACAAAACATATCGTCATCTCGGTCATTATCTGACAAAAGATAATATATGTATTATATTTAAAGGTAAAATATGTTTCAAAAGAGCATTTTGGTATCAGCATCCCACGATTAGAGTTATAGCCGCTTTTTTACTTATATTAGCTGAAGCCCGTGACTCTCCGCGCGGTATTAAAAAAAACCGCAACTAGTATGTAATAGCCATATTTCAGCATTACCCGTTCAGTGGTTCTGTAGATATCTTCAAACAAACATACATTTAAATTCGCATTTATAATATTAGTAATAATTAAGATTAATAAGGTACATCCATGTTAGTTAATTATATTGTATAATATAATATTTTAAGAGTTAGTAGAGCATTGTAAGTTTGTTCTGTATTCATCTAGATGGCGCTGCGGTAGCGGCTGAGTTGCGAACTGAGCCGCGGTTGGCAACTTACCTTGTTACTAACATACTTCAAGACAAATTCGAGTTTTCTTCAATACTGAGACTATGTTATAACTGAAACTTAACCGGACTAACTTTTATAATGAATCAGAACGTTAATAAATCTTGTTCATAAATCATAGCATATTTTCCATTCCATGTTTTTTTTTTAATTAGATTTTTAAGAAATATTATATCTTCTTGCCTTCATAACTACTTCTTGTCTATTAAATTATTCAAACTTTCGTGAGACATTATACTAAACTGATATATAAACACGGCCGTTTACTTCTTGTCTGTACCATTTTATCGTCCTTGTCCATACATTTTTATCATCCGTTAAATTTTTCACGAAATCTATCCATACTTTATACCGCCTACAGAAAAAAATCGACATTCAATGTATCCTATATTTTTGAACATTTAATACACAATTGTTAAATAAAAATGATGCATATATAAGTAACAGATGTCGCTTGATATAAATTTAATTCGCCACACGTTCAAACGTCCGCCGCATCCAGTCAGCATCTGCGTTAACAACCAACATTGTACAACGACATATAAATTGTGCAAACCGTTGTCACTGTCAAATAATACACAACAATAACTAATCATAGTTTCATTCTAGAACTAATTTCATAATTAGTATGGCAACATCTTTATTATTTGGCTATCGTTATCTTCTTAAGTTATACTGACACCCGCGATTCCGTCTGAGGAATTATAAAAAAACTTAATAACTAACTAATTCTACAACTGTGCCAAATTTCATCAAGATCCATTGAGCCCTCAAGGAGATACATTCTAACAAACATCCAACCAAACATTCGCATTTATAATATTAATATAATACTAATAACAATATTGTATTGTAGTGTATCTCCGTGGAGTGATTAACCAATTTTGATATCAAATAAAGATGTTTCCTTTATATTAGTAAAACTTAAATTACACTAAGGGAGCCCCAGTGGTAATTAAACACTTGACTGCGGTAGTTTAGTATGCAATTGAACTTTATAGGTATTTAATTTTTAATCATCAGTAGCCGTATAAATTCTTGGCAAAGGTTTACGCTGTCTCAGCCAGGCTGGTGTCGTACCGGCATATTGCCGATATACGCTATGCTTTCTGCTTTGCTTGCAAATCCTAATTGCAAAATACGACGCGAACTAAACTATATTAATTTGCACAAATAGTTTTCCAAATTCGAAATATAAACGTTAGAACTTAATCTTAATTAAAACAAAAGAACATCAAGAAAGTCGACTGAGTGAGGACGAAACCGAAAAAATGGGTGCAAGAGACCCAAACTTGTTTTTCATTGAATTAGAAATTTATTTCTTACCTCCATTGTTTTTGCTTTATGCCAATATAATATAAATTACACATTTCACACGTCAAGATCGATTCAGTGGACCAAGCTCGAGTATTTTTGACGAGCACCATCGTTATGCCATCGACAAAAGTATTAAAATTTGTACAGCGCCCCCTACCGTGTGAAAAGTAGACTAAAAGTCTCATGCTAACATACAATGACAATGCAAAGGCGGTTGTCACAAATTTTTGTGCTAGACCCACAGTTGTTTAGGCCGTAACTAAAGATAATACATTTATACTTACAAAATAACTATAGCAAGAAGTATAGATTAGTCGCCGGGTTAATAAGAGATTATAGATGCCTTAGTGGAGATTTAGGGAGAGATCATCATCATCATCATCAGCTCACTATGCGTCCCCACCGAGGGGCTCAGAGCTTACCCTAAGTTAAGGGTGATTAGGCCATAGTCAACCACGCTGGCCAAGTGCGGGTTGGTTGACTTCACACATATCTTTGAATTTCTTCTCAGATATGTGCAGGTTGCATCACGATGTTTTCCTTCACCGTAAGAACGTCGGATAAATGTACATATGTAAATCGGAAATCGAAAAGCACTTTGGTACATGGCGGGATTCGAACCCAGGACCTGCAGATTGCAAGTCAAGTGCTTGACCACTGAGCTACCGACGTCTTGTAGCTCTTGTAGTAGGGAGAGATATTAATAGTAAAATACTTCTATAGTAACTATTATATGATTCTAAGTGTAGTACTACTATAAAATCGTAGTAACAAAGAGTTCGTACGTTTTATAAAAACCGTTTATATTTATAAAAACTCAAATACAATTCGGCCTCAAACTGAGAGGTTCAGGAAACTTTTAAGAAGAGGAAACACGTCGGCCGACGTTTTCCGACAAGAGGAGATATATCTTATCGAGATGAACTCCGAGAGCCTCTTACGGTTTCCTTTCTTTTATTTTCAATTCCATATTTCTTTGTTGCAAATCTATTGATTTATTGTTATTTTATTCTTACTTACAAAGTTGTTTGTAAAAACATCGCGAGTTAACGTTCAAAGAAATACAATCTATATATCTACAAAAGAAAGTCGTGTTAGTTGAACTATTTATAACTCAAGAACGACTTTACCGATATGCCTGAAAATTGGTGAGGAGGTAGCTTAGAGCCAGGAGACTTACATAGGATACTATTTATTATTATTTTTTCGAATTTATGCCTTGAAGAGCTGCTTTTTATTTAACTTACTTATATTATAAATGCGAACGTTTAGATGGATGTGATGTGGATGGATGGATGGGTGTTTGCAGATTCTCTAGAGCGGCTGAACGGATCTCGATTAAATTTGGTATACGTATACAACATAGTCTAAACGAACACATAGGCTACTATATATCCACTCGGACGGAGTCACGGGCGTCAGATAGTATTACTATAAAAATACATTTCGTTAGCTAGATTTTCCGCGAATTCATTTTTATATAAAATATCCATCCATCCATCCATCTAAACATTTGCATTTATAATATTAGTAAGATAAGATTAGAATGTCATATAAACTCTAACTGGGTGACTTAATTAATGATTGAATTCTTTGAAATAAATATTGTTTAGTAAATGCGTATAACGTGCGCGGAGTTATTTAGCTGTTTAGTTCAGTTTAGCTGCTAATTAACAGCAGGCTGTAGCGACCGCAAGCGTAAATCCTTCCCGTCAACGCTTTGTCGTCAAGGCATTGTTCTATTTTCGTTTATAAATTATATTATATAATATATTAATGAATGAATGAATGTTTGTTTGAAGATAACTTCATAACGGCTCCATAGATCTCATTAAAATTTGGCATAGATGTAGAACATAGTCTGG